AAACATCTCTTGGAATGTAGCTCTTTGTTCAGCTACTGTTTTTTTCTACCAACTTCTAGTCTAGTTTATCTGGCCCTCTTGAATTCCATTCTTGTCCCTTTGAAGTTGGCTTCTTATTCTTACTTTGGATTGACTAATGTCATTTTCCACTGTCATCATAAACGTTATGATAGAATGATGACTGACCCTAATGTTCCCCACTGTCACTTGATCTACTTGTCCCATCTTATTCTGAAAAAAGAGTAACAGTGCCATCATGCTTGTTGGACTTGACATACTGGTCTAGGAAATTCTCCTGAACGCAAGCTAAGAACTCCTGTGCCTCACTACCCCTTATGCAAATAGGTCTTTTTCTGAATGAATAATGGGGTACCACAGAGATTGGTACTAGGACACCAGCTATTCACAATATCTGTTAATAATTTAGATGAGGCAATTAAATGTAATATCTCAAAATTTACAGGTGACACAAAACTGGGTGAAAATGTAACCCATGAGGAGGATGCAAAAATGTTGAAGTGTGATTTTGAAAGGCTGAGTGAGTGGGCAAATGCAACATAGTGTGGGTAAATGTGAGGCTACCTACTTTGGCAGCAAGAATAGGAAAGCACATTATTACTTGAATGGTTGTTAAGTTGAGAGAGGGAAATATCCAACGAAATCTGCATATCTTTGTGCACCAGTCACCTAAGTAAGCGTGCAAGCGCAGGAAAGAAGACAAAATATAATTGGCCTTCACAATGAATGAATTCAAATACAGGAACAAGAATATCTTGCTGCAATTATACAGGGCATTGGTGAGTCCATACCTGGAAGATTGTGTGCAGTTTTGGTCTTCTTTTCTGAGGAAGAATATTCATGCTATAGAGGGAGCAGGAAAGGTTTACCAAACTGATTCCTTGGATGGCAGAACTGATGTATGAGGAGAGATTAAATCAGTTAAGTTGTATTCACTGGGTTTGAGAAGAATGAGGGGGATTCTCATAGAGACCTATAAAATTCTAACGGAATTAGTTGGGTTTAATGCAGGAAGGATGTTCCTGATGGTGGGGAGTCCGGAACCAGGGGTCATCGTTTAAGAATAAGGGGTAAAACCTTTAGGACTGGAATAAAGAGAAATTTCTTCACCCAAAGAGCGAGGCACCTGTGGATTTCACTACCACCAGAAGGTGATTGAGGAAAACATTATATGTTTTCAAGAAGGAGATAGATAGAATTTTTGTGGCTGAAGAAATCGAGTGATATCAGGAGACGGCAAGATTAGGGTATTGAGCTTGATGAATGGTGAAGCAAGCTCAAGGGCTTGAATGGCCTACTCCTGCTCCTACTTTCTATGTTTCTAGTCCAACTTATTACAGGTAATTAAAGTCCCCTATTATGACTTCTCAATTATGTTTGTACTTTTCTGCAACTTCCTTGCAGATTTTTCTCCCTCGAGATTTTTAAGCCATTTGCCAGGGTTGGAGAGTTTGAGCTGTAGGGAGAAGCTGAATAGGCTGGGGCTTTTTCCTCTGGAGCGTTGGAGGCTGAGGGGTGACCTTATGGAGGTTTATAAAATCATGAGGGGCATGGACAGGGTAAATAGACAAGGTCTTTTCCTCGGGGTGGGCGAGTCCAAAACTAGAGGGCATAGCTTTAAGGTGAGAGGGGAAAGATTTAAAGGGACCTCATGGGCAACTTTTTCATGCAGAGGGTAGCGCATGTATGGAATGAGCTGCCAGCAATAGTGGTGGAGGCTGGTACAATTACAACATTTAGAATGTATCTGGATGGGTATATGAATAGGAAGGGTTTAGAGGGATATGAGCCAAATGCTGGCAAATGGGACTAGATTTATTTAGGATATCTGGTCAGCATGGATGAGTAGGACTGCAGGGTCTGCTTCCATGCTGTATATCTCTATGACTCTAGATCCTTCCCATTAGTTAGTGGTCTACGGATCACACCGGGCAACGTAACTGCACTCTTCTTATTCTTTAGTTCCAGCCGAATCAATTCTATCCCTGAACCTTCTGAAACGTCCTCCTTCTCCTATATTGCAAGACTCTCCTTAAGAAAAAGACTCCATATTCCCTCATTTTTAAATATTTTCAATCTTTTTGTATACCTTGTAACCAGGAATATTTAGCACCCACACCATCCCTTCCTAGAAATAATGGATGCATTGATGTTATCTTCCAGGATTCTACAGACTCTGGAACAGTCCCTGCAGATTGTAGGGTAGCTAATGTCACTCCAGTAATCAAAGAGGGAGGCAGAGACAAAACAGGGAATTATAGATCAGGAAGCCTAACATCGGTAGTGGGGAAAATTCTCGAATCCATTATGAAGGACTTTATAGCAGAGCATTTAGAAAGCAGTAGCAGGATCAGACAGAGTCAGTATAGATTTATGAAGGGGAAGTCATGCTTGACAAATCTGTTGAAATTCTATGAAGATGTAACTAGTAGGGTTGACCAGGTGGGGGGCAGTCAATGTGATATGTTTAAGATTAAAACGCACGGGATTGGCAGAAGTGTATTGAGATGGATAGAAAACAGGTTGACAGAGAGGAAACAAACAGTAGGAATTAACCGGTCCTTTTCAAATTGGCAGGCAGTAACTAGTTGGGTGTTACAGGGATTGGTGCTGGGATCCGAGCTATTCACAATATATATTAATGATTTGGATGAGGGAACAAAATGTAACATCTCCAAATTTGCAGATGATACCAAGTTGGGTGGGAGGGTGAACCGTGAGGAGGATGCAGAGATCCTCCAGCATGATCTGGACAGGTTGGGTGAGTGGGCAAATGAATGGCAAATGCAGTATAATTTGAATAAGTGTGAGGTTGTTCACTTTGGAAGTAAAAACAAGAAGGCAGATTACTACCTGAATGGCTGTAAATTGGGAGAGGGGAGTGTGCAGCAGGACCTGGGTGTCCTTGTGCATCTTGTCACTGAAGACAAGCATGCAGGTGCAGCAGGTGGTAAAGAAGGCAAATGGTAAGTTGGCCTTCATTGGAAGAGGTTTCAAGTACAGGAGCAGGGATGTGTTGTTGCAGTTATACAGGACCTTGATGAGGCCACAACTAGAATATTGTGTGCAGTTTTGGTCTCCTATTCTGAGGAAGGATGCTCTCGCTCTCGAGGGAATACAGCGAAGGTTTACCAAGCTGATTTTGGGGATGGCAAGACTGACGTATGAGGAGAGGTTGACTAGGTTAGGATTGCTTTCTCTGGAGTTCAGACGAATGAAGAGGGATCTCATAGAGACTAATAAAATTCTAACAGGACTAGACAGGGTAGAAGCAGGGAGAATGTTCCTGATGGTGGGTGTGTCCAGAACCAGGGGTCACCGTCTTGATTTGGGGTAGACCATTAAGGACAGAGATGAGGAGACATTTCTACACCCAAAGAGTGGTGAGCCTGTGGAATTCATTACCACAGGAAATAGCTGATTCCAAAACATTTAATGTATTCAAGAGGCAGCTAGATATAGCACTTGGGGCGAATGGGATCAAAGGTTATGGAGAGAAAGCAGGATTAGGCTATTCAATTGAATGATCAACCATGATCGTGATGAATGGCAGAGCAAGCTCGAAGGGCTGAATGGCTTCCTCGTTTTCCTATCTTCTATGTTTCCTTGGGCCAGGTCTCCAATATTTTACCATCATAATCTACCATGGAAATAAGTGCCTGTGTAACTTCCCAATCTTATTAACCATACTCAGTCCTTCACGTACATGCAGAGCAAGCCTAATTTACACTTCACTATCATCTCCCTTATGCTGACTCCACATATTACTTCTATTCTCACACAATCTGCCTCCCCCAGCATTTTTTTGTACTCTGCCATTTCTTTCTAACATTCTCTGCTGGTTCCCACTCCCCTGCATAATCCCTCCCAAGCAGTCGGGATCCTTCTTCAGAACTGCTCTGAAGAAGGGTCCCGACCCAAAATGTCGACTTTCCTACTCCTCTGGTATTACCTGACCTGTCATGGTCCTCCAGCTCCATACTGTGTTGACTCTGACACCAGCATCTGCAGTTCTTGGTATCTTCTTGCCTGTCTCCCTAAGACTGCCATAGCCACTGCGAGCACTGAAACCTGGAGCTCAAGCTTGCAGTGGTCCCACTTCCTACACACGGGCTCATCGAGGTCATTTAGAATGTTCACCAGTCCACACATGCAACAGCATGCATATTCCAATTGGCTGAGCTGTCCTGCCGCAATCTTAACTTATACTTAAGTAATTTTACTTGCTAAAACTTTAGTTTCCTTCTTTTAACTTTACTCTGGTACTATTGACTAAAAAATAGAGATGAGTAAAAAAACAAATTCTTTGCCCTTAATCATAAATCACCCGTCCTGTGCCTGTTAATTCTTACTTTCCCTGTGCTAGTTTAGAAACATTTTTTTTCAAACTCGAATTGGAACGAATTTTCAGCTACTCAACAATATTAACCTCAGGATTTTCCCGTGATATTGCTCAGAGGTTTACGTCCCGCCAGCCCACATTGTTTTATCTGGTGCTGGATGGAAATGAAACAGTACGTTGAAGGGGATCAATATGAACTGTACTAAGCTTTGACACATAAAGCAATAGATAAAAATGGAGATGAAAATGATGGTCAGGTGAGAGCTTTGTTGTTTTCTCTCAGAACAGGAGCAGCCAGAGAGAGATAGAGAGGTCAGTACTGGAGGGTTGTGGCTGGGGGATGAGGAGGAAAGGCCTCGGGGCCGGGGAATTCAGGGAGAGTCGGACCAGGCCAAGCCACGGGGAGGAGATTAAAGACCCAGGGCAGGGTCCCGACCAGGTAAGAATTTGAGGCCACAGATCGGGTTAGGGACGGGAGTATGAAGGAGGATCTGAATCAAGCCCAGAGAGAACAGGATAGAAGCCGGAGCGAGCCGAGAGGTGAAGAGATGTGAAGCCACGAAGCCGTCCACCCTCTGTCCCGCCCCTGGTAACTGTCCCTAACAACCAACCTCAGCCAATCCGCTCGTCCCTTACTACCAGGGTCTGCTACAGCCAATCGCAGGCTGTTTTCCGCGGCTCTGCGAAGCTGTGATGGCGCCGCTGAAGCTCTGCATCCCAGGTACGCGGGAGACTTCAGGAACGGAGCGGGGATGGGATGGGATGGGATGGGATGGGATGGGATGATGAGGGGAGTATAAGAAATAGGAACAGAGTAGGCCGTTCGGCCTCACAGCCTGCTTCGCCATTCATAAGGATCATGGCTGATCCCACACACCTCCTGTCTACTTTCCTGCTCTATTCCTATAATTATCCGTTTCCCCACTAATCAAAAATCTATCTGTCTCAACCTTAAATATACACCGTTTTTACTGTGGATTAAGAAATGGACGCTAGTGAACCCAGGGAAATAAATGTTGATCTTTTGAAAACAGTTCACATTATTTGCTGAAGGTCCTAGAAAACATAAAGGTGGATAAATCTTCGGGATCTGATCAAGTGTATCCCAGAACGTTGTGGGAAGTTAAGGAGGAAATTGTGGGGTCCCTAGCAGAAATATTTGTATCATGTATAACCATAGGTGAGGTGCCTGAGGAGTGGGGGGAGGTTAATGTTTTGCCTTTATTTAAGAAAGGCTGTAAGGAAAAGCCAGGAAATTATAGACCCGTGTTTGAGATCGGTGGTGGGTAAGTTGTTGGAGGTGATTCTGAAAAATAGGATTTACATACATTTGGAGAGGCAATGAATGATTAGAAATAGTGAGCATAGCTTTGTGCAAGGGAAATCACATCTCACAAACTTGATTTTTTTGAGGAAGTAATCAAAAAGATTGATCAAGGAAGAGCAGTAGACATTGTTTACTTGGACTTTAGTAAGGCCTTTGATACGATTCCACATAGTAAACTAATCAATAAAGTTGGATCACATGGAATTCAGCGTGACCTTGCCAATTGGATACAAAATTGGCTTGAACGTAGGAAACAGAGAGTGGTGTGGAGGTTTGTTTTTTGGACTGGACACTTGTGACCACTGGGGTTTGACAGGGATTGGTACTGGGTCCACTTTTGTTTGACGTTTGTATAAACGATTTGGGTGAGAATATAGGAATCATGGTTAGTAAGTTTGCGGGTGACACCAAAATTAGTGGCATAGTGGACAGTGGAAAAGGTTATCTAAGATTACAAGAGATCTTGATCAATTGGGTCAATGGGCTGAGGAGTGGCAGATGGAGTTTAATTTGGATAACTGCAAGGTATCGCATTTTGGTAAAACAAACAAGGGCAAGACTTATTCAATTAATGGTACGGCCCCTGGGTAGTGCTGTAGAACAAGGCGACCTTGGGATTCAGGTATATAATTCTTTGAAATTTGCATCACAGGTAAACAGGATAGTTAAGAAAGTATGAGGGACATAGATAAGGTGAATAGCAAAGTTGTTTTCCCTAGTGTGGGGGAGTTTAAAATTAGGGAGCATATTTTTGAGGTGAAAGGAGAAAGTTTTAAAAAGAACATGAGGGGCAACCTAATACACAGAGAGTTGTTTGTGTGTGGAATGAACTGCCAGAGGATGTGATGCTTGCAGGTACAGTTACAACATTGAAAAGACATTTGGAAAAGATTAAGAAAAGTTCAGAGAGATAAGGGCCAAGCACATACAGGTGGGTCTAGTTTAGTTTGGGAACATGGTCAATGTGGACTGGTTAGACCGAAGGGTCTCTTTCCATGCTGCATGACCAAAACAAGGACTCTGCCCCCACAGCTCTTTGTGGCAGGGAATTCCAAAGACACTCAACCATCTGATAAAAGAAATTTCTCCTTGTCTCAGTCTTAAATTGGTGCCTCTTTATTCTGTGACTATGCTTTCTGATCCTAGACTCATGAGGGAAAACATCCAGTTGGCATTTACCATGTCAAGCCGCTTAAGAATCCTATATTGTGTCTTCCAGTAAGATTACGGAGGAGTAGGGCTTCTGAGCCCAGGGTTCATCCACTCCATCTGCTTTCCCTTTTTTTTCTTTTTTCTCTCTCTTTCGTTTCTTTTTTTCTCTTTTGTTTTATTTTATTTCCCTCTTGCTGAAGAGCTCGGGCTCGGTAATGGCATTGCCGACGAGTTGGCCCGGCAGCATGGACTAATGGCAGCAACATCGGAGGCGAGTTTGTGTTCCAGCGTCTTCTGCATTGTGAAGGCGCTCCTAGCGCTGATTCATGGCTGCTGTGGCAGAGGTGAGTCGGGCCCAGTATGAGACCTGGCGGCAGCAGCTACATCGTTGAGGTGGGTCCGAAGCAGACTCAAGGTGGCAGCTGAGTCAAGTTCAGGCCAATGCATAAAGGCTGGCATTGGTGGCATCCTCATTGGCAAGGCCCAGTTAGGATTCATCGTGGCAATGCCATTGCTGGAGGCGAAATGGTGCCAAAGAGTGGCGTCTTTTGCTGCAGCGGTGGCAGCACGGTGAAGGAGACTTGTGCCTGGTCACCAGGCCCATGATAAAGCACTTAACAAGAAGGACTATAAATTAGACAATACAGTGTGGAGCTGGAGGAACACAGCAGGTCAGGCAGCATCAAAGGAGAGTTTTCCGAAAAAGGGTTCCGACACAAAACGTCACCTTTCCTGCTCCCCTGATGCTCCCTGGCCTGCTGTGTTACTCCAGCATCTGCAATTCTTGCTATCTCCTTGTAAGTTAGACACTTTTTTTTTCATTTTTCTGCCTTTATATTCTATGTTTTGGTTTTTTTTTATTTGTTTTAAGATGGCGCCGGAGAGTGGCGCCACTGTACAGCACTTTTCATTGTATTTTTGTAACAAGATACACGTGACAATAAATAAATAAATCAAATAGTAACCCTGACTCGGGCACTGTTAATACTGCCATTCTGGATATCTGTTAACTGCATTACTTACAACTTATTATAACAGCAGAAGCATCATGGTGCATGCGATCATTATCAAAGACATATTTGAGAAAGAATCTTCAGTAGAATATCCCAAATCTGTTACTTTCTGTCTGAAAGTGGTTATCCAGTGACTTGCTGAACAGCAATGTCCAGACATGTATGTGCTTTGAAAGGCTGTAAACTCTATTTTTACTCTGTGAAAAGATCTAATGGATGATGATATCTCATTCCAGAGACTTTCAGGCACAGTTAGACTGACACTTTGTCATACTGTGATTGTGCTCCAGTGTTGAAAGTGCTGTCTTTTAAATGTGATATTAAACATCAGCTTCTTTCAATCAAGCATAAAAGATTCCAGGGCACTATTTTGAAGAAGAGCAGGTCATTTCTCTTTAGTGATCTAGACAATATTTATTCCTCAACTAACATTTCTAATTGGGTTTTCTGGTTAGTGTCAGCTCTCTATCTAGTTTATTCATTTACAGGATGAGGGCGTCTCTGACTAGGCAGCATTTATTGCCCATCCCTAATTGCCCAAAGGGCAGTTGAGAGTCAACCACATTGCTGTGGGTCTGGAGTCACATGTAGGCCAGACCAGGTAAGGATGGCAGTTTTCTTCCCTAAAGGGCATTAGTGAACCAGATGGGTTTTTCCAACAATCGACATTGGATTCACGGTCATCTTTAGATTCTTAAGTCCAGATATTTTATTGAATTCAAATTCCACCATCTACCATGGCAAGATTCGAACCTGGGTCCTCAGCATGTTATCTGGATCTTTGGATTAAGAGTCCAGCGATAATACCACTAGGCCATTGCCTCCTGTGTGCAGTCACATTGGATACAACACGTTTCCTACCTTAGCAAGTGACTACACTTGAAATGTATGAGATCTGTTGACAAGTGTTTTGAGGACACACAATGTGCAATGATAATTGCAAGTAATTTTTCTTCGCCATCTTTACCATATGTCCTAATTTGTTAATATCCTGTTTGCATGTCTACAGGAGAGAGATTGTGCAGCACTGAGGACGGCACTCCTGGTAATGGCACATACTCCAGACACGGATATATTTTTGCATCTTTAGCTGGCTATGTGGTGAAGGAAAATGACAATGGAATGGTAAGCGATGTAGAGTCAGTGACAAAGACTGCCATTGCACACTGTTCAGTTCCTGAGGTTTTCAACAGCTCTTTCTTTCTCTTCAGAGGAGTACCAAGTCACTTAACCTTGCTCACCCAATGCCAGTTTCAGAGTGGTTTTGGTGTCTGTGATCCTGTGAAAATGCTTTATTAATGATCTTGTCCAATGACCAACCCAGATTACTGGATCACTGCGCTAATTACCATGACTCCTTTGACACCACTTTCCAAACCCATGACCTCCACCACCTAGAAATATCCTGGCAACAGCTGCATGGGAATGTCATCACCTGTAAATCCCCACTTAAGCCACTAACCATGCTAACTTGGAACAATATCGCTGATTTTTCACTGTCTCTAGGTCAAAATCAAGAAACACACTCTCGAATGTACCCACACGAGGTTTCAAGGAGACAATTCATCATCACCCTCCCAAGGAAATTAGGGGTGACCAATACATGCTGGTCTGAATTGCAATGCATTCATCCCATGAATTAATTTTTTAAAATCTCCATTTCCATTAAGTGTGAGCCACGGCTCAGTGGGTAGCACTTTCACTACTGAGTCAGAAGATTGTGGATTCAAGTCCTCCAGAAGATCTTTTAAAAAAATCCAGACTGGCATTCCAGCGCGAGAAGATTGAATTACATTCCCGAAGTGCTGGGTAGAATTTAAAAAATTCAAAAACGGACACAATGGTGAGAAAATGTTTTTTAGGCACAGCTATTAAATAATCTGGCTTGGAGAGTGAATTGAGAAAGGGGTGGCTAAAACATCCGAGCAGAAAGACCTTTCAGGGTGAATCGAACACCCAGTCATCTCTCCACAAATACTTGTAGTACTTTTTAAAATTTATATCCTGAAGTGTTATCGCATAGCACCTAATGGCATTTCTCCCCAGCACCAAATCACCCATAGCAATTTTCACCTATCATCAAATCACCCATGTTTCCAATGGTTCAAATTACATGCAGAGCCCATTTAGAGCAACAAACAACATGTGTTGTGTAAGGAACAAATTGCAGCTGTAGATTTAACTTAGTGCATATGACATTTTAATATTTGTCAATTATATGAATTCAATGTAAGTACATGTTCAGAGGCCATTGATTTGATGGTAACTTGAACATATATAAAGAAACATTTACTGAAATAGGTGAGTGGAGTTGGGAGATATAAAGTACCTATATGTTTCAAATTGAATAAATCTATTCCAGGCAATGGCTGGCTTTGGATTCTTCCTTCATAACTGGTTATGAGGAGTAGAACTGAGATGTGGTTGACTCTGGGAAATATTTAGGCCACAATTTTAAGATTACAGGAAACCCAAGAAAACTGGTAGAAAATTAGATGCAACTTGAGTGACAAGGAATGAAGCTGAGATTGATAAATTGTTAATCAGTGGTGTTGAGAATATGGGGCACAGGCGTATACATGAAATTAAGTCAATTTCTCCTGTTCCTATGTTCCTAGGCACACTCCAGTACTTGCCCTCTATGCTCATTCTTCAAATAAGCATGATAGAATCTGTCAGTGAACACTGGTTGTTATCCTTTCTTCTCCCTTGAACCAGTGGTACTGAAGCAAGTTTGAACATCCCAAATGCTGCATGCCAGAGGTCAACTAACTCCACACAGGTCAGAAATTGAATGTAGACCTCTTAACCAGGTAGCTTAGTTACAGTCTGGCTTGGAAACAGCAGCACCTATGGATAGGCATTAAATACTGGCCTAGCCAAATCTCATGAATATTTTTTAAACATTAAGTAGGAAATTCAGGAGAATTTTCTTTTTCTGCAATGGGTGGTTATAATATGTAACCAGCTGACAAAGCTAATAGTTAAATTCAACAACATAGACAAGCACGTGAAGCAGGAAAGAATTGAAGAAAATGTTGATAGTGACTGACCTGTTTCTATGCTCTACAGACTGTGATAATTCTGACCTGTTATTTGCAGGTGCCAGTCATATCGGTAGTTCGGGACTCAGAGCCTCAGCTCCTGCCAGAGGTTGGTGTTGTTGTAACATGCAAGGTAAGGATGGCTTCATTCCTTTCTCTGCAGTCCTTGATATAACCAAGTCATATGAATTTCATTAAAATTTTGAATACCCAATCCCTAGTGTACACTGTTTCTACTTAGTGAGTTGTGATCTGAACCACAGTTCCCTGAAAGGGACTGGCAGCAAATTTGATTGTGACTTTCTGAAGGGAGATAGATAAATACTTTGAAAATTAAAAAAAATCGGGCTATGGGAAAAGAGCAAGATGAGTGGGATTAATTGGAGTGCTCTTTCAAAGACCTAGCACAGGCATGATAGGATAAATGGCCTTATTCTATGCTGTATGATTGTTGGACAAGTAGCTTGATCCTCATAAACTGCACTCAGTTTATGTTCATACACACTTCATGACCTTCCAAAGAGCATCCCACCCACGTCCACCCCACCCCCCATCCTATAACCCTGCATTTCCCATGGCTAAATCCTCCTAACCTACACATCCCTGGACACTGGACAATTTAGCATGGCCAATCCAGCCAACCTGCACATCTTTTGACTGTTGGAGGAAACCCATGGAGACACAGGGAAAATGTGCAAACTCCACACAGACAGTCAACCAAGGCTGGAATCAAACACGGGTCCCTGCTGCTGTGACGCAGCAATGCCTCAAGTTAGAAGAAAAATAGCAATCAGCTTCTTTTACAAGCCTAAACCTGTGGCTGCTGAGATCATCTACAGAATCCATCCTCCATCCAACAGAACTTGGATAACAGCCATTTCGTGTTTCCCTTAACATTCCTTAAGTTCCACCTTGGCTGGAAAAGTTAGATCCGCTCCCCCAAGAGACCACAGTACTGTACAATCTACAAATGCACTGCAGCAATTCACTAAGGCCTCTTCTACGTCACCTCCCAAACCTGCGATCTCTGCCATCTAGAAGGGCAGCAATAACAATGGAACAATGCCACCTTCAAGATCCCCTCCAAACCGTGAAAATGTATTGATGTTCTTTCACTGTCATGACGTAAAAATCTTGGAGCACCACCCTTATCACTGCAGGGGATAGCATTGTCTCATGGAACTGCAGCAGTTCAAAAACATGGCTCATTACCACCTTCTCAAAGGCAGTCAGGGATGAACAGTAAATGCTGACCATGCCAGCAATGCCTATATCCTGAAGACGAGGAAAGAAATTTAATCAGGTGCAGGGTAAAATTATGTGGTACACTGCTCATTTACCATAACTTTTTAAAATGGTTTCATGGGATATGGGTGTCACCAGTAAGGTCAGCCTTTGTTGTCCATCCATAATTGTCCTTGAACTGAGTGGCTTCCAGGGTCATTTGAGCTCAATTCAGAGATAACCACTTCATTGTGGGTCTGGAGTTGCGTGTAAGCCATACTTGATAAGGATAGCAGATTTTCCTCCCTAAAGGACATCAGAACTAAGTGGGTTTTTACAATAATCGATGATAGTTTGATGTCGTCATAATCATTAGATGAACTTTAAATTTCAGATATATTGATTGAATTTAAATTCCACCAGCTACCATGGCAGTCTTTGAGCAAGAGTCCCAAAAGCTTTAGCCGGAGACTCTGATTTATTAGTTCAGTGACATTGCCACGGAATTGCCATCTCCTCTCACTGGACTGATCCATGTGCCAAGACTGTTTGAGGTCTAGCTTTAAAAGGGATATGGCTGACAGCCAATCTTGCAGACACTTGTGGCATGTCTGGAAAATAGAAAAATGAGTTTCTTTCCTGCTGTAGAACACTTTATTCCCTCATATCCCCCACTCCCCATCTGCATCCTTTACTGTTCCCTAAGTGATCTGCATCATATTTATTATCAATGTTAGTGGACATTTTCCCTTTTACAAACAGGTGACCAGTATTAACCCTCGGTTTGTCAAAGTCCATATTTTATACGTACGATCCACTCCACTGAAAGGGACATTTCGAGGAACCATCAGGTAATATAAATAATGCAAACTGGTTCTGCGGTTTTACAGAAGAGCGTGAGTTTATAGCCTGGACTATAAATTTGCTTGACAATTCCTTACAAATGGTGCATAAATCAGATTTTGAATGTTTTGCATAAATACCTTCTAGAGTGCATGTTGTCTTCCTGTGATCCTTCCCTTTGCTGGTTTTATTTGCCTTGTATTCCTTGGGACAAATAAGTGGGCAAACTGATCCAAATCTGCCGTCAATTAGCTGTTTGCAAGCCACTCTGAGAGATCTGAGCTTTACCTATGCCTCAGATCACAAATTTTTGGCACCTGGGGTAGGTGTACCAGTCATTCTACTCCAGAGTTTTACTGTACTTCACAGTAGTGACGAGACGACATGTAATTCATTCCAGCACAACTTTTAACTTTTCTCAGTGAGACTATAGTGCCTATAAGTGCCTAGATTTGTAGCTCGGGTTGTGGGTCTTGACGTTGGTTGGCTTGCCTTGCCGAGCTGGTTTGTTGTTCCGCAGACGTTTCGTTACTGTGCTTGGTGACATCCTCAGTGCAGCCTCTGATGAAGCATCGGTGTGTTTTCCCGCCTGGCTTTTAAACTCTGGGGTCCGTTGCGATGGATTGCCTCACTTCTGGGTACAAAAAGACACGACCAATACTCACATATCTCAATCCACATAGACAAGGAGAACCACGACTTCGACTGGGACAACACCAAGATCCTGGAACAGGCTAGGCAGAGACAAGCACGAGAATTCCTGGAAGCATGGCACTCCATGAAGCAGGCTATTAATAAACACATTGAATTGATCCCATATACATTCCACTACGGAGGAAACCCGGAAGTGAGGCAATCCATCGCAACGGACCCCAGAGTTTAAAAGCCAGGCGGGAAAACACACCGACGCTTCATCAGAGGCTGCACTGAGGATGTTGCCAAGCACAGTAACGAAACGTCTGCAGAACAACAAACCAGCTCGGCGAGCCAACCAACCTCAAGACTATAGTGCATAAACTTGTATCTTCTTGAATAGCTATGTGGTGAAGAAAGTAGCCAAGATGTAAATAGAATTGCTCTGGTTTTGGGATAAATGTCCGTCAGGATTCTGTTCCATGATATTGTTTAATAAATCCCCACAATGAAGGTGAACAGACATCAACCAAGCTAGGGGCAGAATTAAACTGTGATGCTCCAAGGTGTGCAAACTACTACTTAGTACCCATTGATGCTCACATGGAAAACTTGTTAGATGGGGATGCTAGAGGTTTAACTGGAAGGCACTGACTGGAGCCCAGCAAGAAGGTGCATTGAAATCTAATTGGACAGAAGAAAGGCAGTGTTTTTTTTGTGCTCATGAGGGACTGGATTTGCCCGACTTTCATTCTCCATGTTTGAGAGATTCCATGCACTTTGCCTGTTGAATAATTTAGGATTACGTTAAAATCTGCACAGTTCTGTTACTGTTTGGAAGTTTGTTTAAATTTGAATTGCTTTTTTAATTCATCCATGGGATGTTGATGTGCTGGTAAACCCAGCATTTATTGCTAAATCCTATTTGCCTATAAATGATGGTAAACTATCTGGAAGACAAGTGGCTTCTTCAGCCATTTCAGAACCACATTTCTGTGGGTCGATCTAGGACTGGTAGTGATGGCAGATTCTCTTCTCTAAAGTATGCTAACAAACCTGTTGAGTTTGTAATAGCAGTCCAGTGGTTTCAGGGTGACCATTTCTAATATGTTAGAATTTTTAATTCCAGTTAATGATTGAACTAAAATTGTAAATCCTCTACTACTATGGAGGGATTTGAACTTGTGTCACTGGATCATTATCTAAGTTCCTGGATTCCATTATCTTATAACAGTACCATAACCAATATACCTCAGTGCCTATGTCTATAAATACACGTATCACTCCCTTAAAAGGTTAAGTAATAGAAAACTTAAACATTGAATAATTTAAGGACAGAACAATGTTTGCCAGGGAAGTGAACTCACTCAGTTATCATAACATTAATATTGTTTTACATAGAAGAGAAGATATTCGAGCAACAGAAAAGGACAAGGTATGCATCGTCTTTCTCGTCACTGCTTTGGGTGACAGATTAGATATTTGATCTGTCAGTGTCCTCCTGACCCTTAAGTTTATATGTTTCTGTGATAAAAACTTAAATGGTCACAGGAGTTGCTCAGTTGTGTCTGATTTTTTTTGAAAAAATCTTCTCTCTCTGTGTTGAAAGTAAAAGCTGTTGCATGAGGGTTATGTGGGTGAGTAGAATGTTAATATTTCATTGAATGTATTGAGTTGCCTCCACCAACCAATCCTGCCCATTGGTCTCCAACTCCATTTGGTGGACATTAATGAGATCAGGACTTGAGTCTTACAAATGATCTGTAAACTTACCTCAATTGGTGGCACACTTGCCTCTGTGCAGGAAGTTACTAGACTGGTGGTGACGGCAGACTCCCTTCTCTAAAGTATGTTAACAAACCTGTTGTACATGTAAGGAGTTTGAATGACTCACCATTCGAGTGTCGAGAGTCTGCTGCATTCTCACTTAGAAAGAGATATTCTGCTTTCCTTATTCATGTGAAGTGGATGCCACTGGCCAAATGAGCTTTACTGTCATCCCAAAGTGCCACTAACTTGTGAGCCCATTTCAGAGAGCAATTTAGAGTTAACCACATTGTTGTGGTTTTAGAATTCTTTATAAATCAGACCTGATTAGGCTTTCTTCCTGAAAGGACATCCGTTAACAACGTGGGTTTTTACAACAATCTGGCAACGACACAGGATTTTTATTCCAGTTTTTATTTAATTAATCTTAAATGCTAGGATTTAAACTTGTGTCACAGTCAAGGCTCTGAATTATTCATCCAGTAACATAATCATAACACCATGATGCTGTTATGTTTGAGTGGATATAAAATCCCAAGGCATTTTTGCACAATCCTTACAGTATCCTAGTCAACATTTACCCTCCGCCAACAGCAGATTAACTAGTCAATTATCTCATTTGATGTTTGTGGGATTTTACTGAACACAGATTGGTATCTATGTTTGTCTATGTAACAAAACAATTGATATTTGAATGGCTTATATATAATGAAATATCCCAAGGAGCTTTCAGAAGAACAGTGTCTTACACTTGGAATATATTTTATTGGCTGTGAAGCACTTTGGAACGACCTAGGGATAAGAAAGATATTGTGTAAAGATAGGTTCTTCTTATACATTTACTGAATTAACATCATCTTTCCTGCAGATAGAGGTTTACAAGTGCTTCAGGCCCGGTGATATTGTTTTAGCAAAAGTGGTATCCTTTATAGATTATTATTTTAATTTGATATTTGATTGTTAGTTGTACCTCAGAATATCAGATCCAAGAATTGTGTGTATTCCAAGTTGACATTTCCATTCTGTCCAGAGGGGATGTTGCATCGTCAGAGGTGGAAGAGACATTAATGTGTTTGTTAATGAAACCTACCGAGTGCTTGATACAGAGTATAAAGCCCCCACAATGTCGTAGTCCCTCAACCAATGGAACTGAACTTGGTCAATTATCCATTGATTCTGGTTGCCTGAGAAATAACTGCTATACTTTGCCTATGTAACAAATGTCACAGAGTTCCAAAATAATTATCTATAAAGTATTGAGATGGTTGCAATATAGTAAGTTGCTGTGAAGACAGACAGTGGTCCATCTGTACCCAAAGCAATATATTGGATCAAACAGTACTAGAATGGTTGTTTGTTCACTTGTGTCCAAAAACAAGCATCTGTAGCATCTTTATCCAGCTGGAAGCTGAGTTTTGCAGGCCAGAAGAGTCCCAGATTCTGTTCCCTATTCTGTAGCAGGTTGCCTAAACTCACCTGGAATACATTGCCAAGATATAAAGGAAACATAACTCAAGTGCAAACACAGAATGTTGAAAAAACTCAGGAGATCTGGCAGCATCTGTGAAGAGAGAAACAGTGAACGTTCCAAGTCTGGTGTGACTTATCTTCAGAACTGAAAGGAAGGTTCTGAATACGCCTTTGAGTTCTGAAGAAGAGTCAGATGGGATATGAAACATTGACTCTGTTTCTGTCTGCACAGATACTGTCAGACCGGCCGAGTTTCTCCAGTACTCTGTGTTTGATTCGGATTTCCACCATTTGCAGTATTTTGCTTATAACTTGACTCAGTCCTCCATTCTTGAATACCTAATGCCCCAGTTGGAAAACACGTGCAGACATTGGCAAGGGCAATTTCTACCCCTCTTATGATGCTCCTACAATCAACTACCTCCTGAATAAACAGTGTGAAAGTATGGCTTTTTGGTCAAGGTACTCCCCTCACCCGTTATAATGTCCTCTGAGGAAGCCTGTTGTGGGGAAAAACTGGTGTGAGGGGAGTGGTTGGGTAATGTGGAGGTGAGGGGCACAGGGTGGGAGGAAGAATTTTTAAATAAAATGCTTGATTTTCCATCTGGAAACAAGATGCAGTTTACAATTACAAGAAATATTTGACACAGAAACAGGCCATTTGGCCCACTGAGCTGGTGCTGGTGTTTATCTCTACTCAAGCTTCCTCTCACCATTTTTCATCAAAGTTTATCATAATGATCTCTTTCCTTTGACCTTATATGCTTGTCCAATTTGCCTTCAATGCAAATATGCCATTGTCTTCACCACAGTTACTCAATTAGCACCTTTCAAACTCTCAAACACCACCATATAGAAAGACAGGGCAGTAGATACTTGGAAAGACCAGCACCTGCAAGTTGCCCTCCACGCAACTCACCATCCTGACTTGGAAATATAATACCATCTCTTCACTGTCTGAGTCAAAATCTTGGAGCTCCCTCTGTAACAGCTCTGTGGATGTACTTACACCAAATAAAGTGCAGTGGTTCAAGAAGAAAGCTCTCCATACCTCCTCCAGGACAATAAGTGATGGGGCAATGAATCTTGGCCCAATGCTTACATCCCCAAATGATTTTTTTTTTAAAAACTCCCTGCGTGTTCTACGTTTCTACCACTTGTTGATCAAAGAATTTGCATTTGGTTTGCTTGGAAATATATTAAGTGGTCTCTACTTACGCTCTTCACCACAAAAGGGTACGTTCTCTTTGAGTCCACTCTATCAAAATTTTTGTTTGTTTTAGATATGCATATTAGGTCACTTCTTAGCCTTTCATCAGAAGAAACCTGTCAATACTGATCTGTTTGCGTAACCACATATTTCTGATATTATACTTATAATCTAAATCTGCATATGCTGTAGTCTCTCTTATTCATCAGTCTATTATGGGGCACCTTATCAAAAGCCTTTGAAAATTCCAGCTAAGTTACATCTAATACATTTACCATTGTCTGGTTTCTCTATTTTCTCTTCAAAAATTCAGTAAGGTTGATCGTGTAATATGTTCCTTTTTTTGAAATAAGTGTTAACTATTAATTCTGTGTCTCTTTAACATGTTCTTCTATTTCCTCCTTTAACTGATGTAAAGTGACAGCTGATGACTGAAATTCCCTGGAGATGTCCTCTCTCTCCTTTTAAATATAGGAATTACATTAGGTAGCCACCTCTTCCTCTACTATCTCAGTCAAAATTCTTTTAAAATCCGTCTGAAGCAGAACGTTGTCATCTTTGACATTGTTCGATGCATACTCTTTATTTTAAATGGACTTGTGATTGCTAGTCTTATTGTTTAGTGCCAATCATCTAGTGGTTAAATTGTAAGATTTGTATTTTTTTTCCTTAACTTGTTCTCCAAGATTTCTCTAGGTGATGCTCAGTCCAACTACCTGCTGACTACAGCAGAGAATGAACTTGGTGTAGTAGTTGCACACAGTGAGGCAGGTGGGTATATCCTCTAAGTTTTGAAGTGATTCTGGAGTGCTTCAGACCCCTTGTCTGTTAGATGAGTGAAGGAGTTAGCAAGGTAAGAACAAAGGAATTATTTCCTTTGGTGCAGGATGTTGGAGGTAACTGGAGGAGACTTACAGAAGGGGACAAAAATCTCAAGTTAGATTGTTACTAATGATGATAGTATGCGCTTTGTCACACAAAGGAAAGTGGAAATCCAGAAGTAGAAAAATTTAGAGGGCAATCCCCAGCGCTTAGGAACAGTAGCGGAGTTTTGGAAATCAAATGCAGGGAGGCCAGATTTGGAGGAGCGCTGTTATCTTGGAGGGTTATAGGGTTATAAGAGTTATGGGGACAAGGCTAAAGAGGGATTTGAAAAAAAAGGATTGGATTTTAAAATTAAGGTGTTGCCATACCCAAGGTCAGTGCATGTCAATGAGCACAGGATGATCGATGAATGGGATTCAGTTCAAGTTAAGATGTTAGAATCAGAGTTTTAGATGAGCTCAAGTTTACAGATGGTAGAAGATAGTGACATTTGAAATATGATCAATTGAAACAAGTGATTGAATCCCACTGGCATCTTTAATTGTAAAAACCAATGATGGGGTGAATCAGAAATTGGATCAACCTTAGAGCAAAAAAGAGATGAAATTATGAATCTGTCATGCTTGACCCCTATCCTGTGTATGTTTTTAAATGCTGTCTTTTCTTCTCCTAGGTGAGCAGATGGTTCCCATCAGCTGGTGTGAGATGCAATGCCCCAAATCCCATGGGAAAGAATTCAGGAAAGTAGCTCGTGTTCAACCCGAATTCCTTCACACCTGAGTCTTGTCACAAAGAACAGCAAGGGAATATTTCTATACCCTTGAAAGATGTTGCTTCTGTGAAGCTAGTTCGTACTGAAATTATTGTTTCACAGTCACTCCTGTGGTTGGATGTATCAATGGCAGAACTAAATTCAGTAGGACTTTGGAGCTAGAGTGATTGCCTTTCCTTTTTTTCTGTTACTTACAGCCTGAGATACTGAGTGACATTACAGATTTTACACTTTTTAAACAAAATAAGTATTTTTCTTCTATTAAAGTTGAGATTTGAACCAATTGTTCACTTTCAAATTATTTTGTGCTGTCTCTGTTCATGTCCCCATGGCATCCTGTCTTGACTGCTAAGAAAAGCAGTCATGTGAATTGCTTCTACACAGTTTGTCACTGCCTTTTGTAACCATCCCTAGGAGACATGCCTGTGCTCAGGTAGAGTCTTTCAAAGTGTTTGCCTCACACAGGGACTCATCACAGGCATAGTTAGCATGGCATACAATCATATGTCCCACTCCACAATTTGAAGGGTTAATACGTTGGCTGCGAAATGTTTTTGGATGGCCTGAGAAAACATTTAAGCCATCAAATAAAAACGAGTTTGCTTGCATAAAACAGAACTTGCAGATCTGAAGCAAGCAAAAACAGAAATTACTAGATAAACTCAGCAGGAACGGTAGCATCTGTGGAGAGAAAACAGGGTTAACATTTCAAGTCCAGTGACTCTTCTTCAGATACTGCCAGATTTGCTGAGTTTCTCCAGCAATGTCATTTGTAATTTGCTTGCTATTAACTTTGCATCTGTGCTGACCTGAAGGAATCATTCTTGGTTGACCATCATGTTGAGTTGAGATTATTTGACATACTTAATCGTCAGCTTGCTGTCACGTAATTTAACTCAATGAACAAAGTTACCAGCCACTGTGACTATAAACATCGAGTAAGCAGAACTTATATACTGGATAACAAATAACTTGACGAGGGAGTTCTAGGTTATAGGGGGCCAACCAGTGAGTAGAATGGAAACCACAATCAGATCGACCATGATCTTATTGAAAGGCAGACAGGCATAACAAACTGGTATAATCTCAGCACTTTGCCTTGGGACTGGGACCATCATTGTTCTTTTGCAACAATCTCCAGCCTGAACTGCCAAGTGGACGATTTATCTCGACCTCTTCCAGAATTCCCGAGCATCAAAGATTGCTAGTCTTCAGCCAATATGATTAATTTCATGTAACAGGCAGTGGATGCCACAAAGGTTATCGACCTTGACAACAATCCAACAAAGATTTATGCTTCAGAATCAACCGTGCTTTTCGCTGAGCTGTTCTGGTACAACTACAACACTGATGTCTATCCAGCAATGTGGAAAATTGCCAGTGTATCCTGTAGACAAAAAAAAGGACAAAAACCAGGCCAACTACTTAACACCCTCGACTATGGAATGTGTCATCAACGGTGCTATCAAGTAGCACTTACTCAACAATAAACAGGTTATCCGCTCAGTTTGGGTTCTTCTAAGGCCACTTATTTCCTGACTTCATTGTCATAGAGTCATACAGCTTGGAAACAGACCCTTTGGTCCAACTCGTCCATGCTGGCCATTTTTCCCCAAACTAAACTAGTCACGTTTGCATGCATTTGGCCCTTTTCACCTCTAAGCCTTTCCTATTGTAATCTTGGGCTGTACGTGACCAAATGAATTGAACTCGTGGGTGAGGTGAGTGTGACTACCCTTGACATGAAGGCTGCATTTGAATGAATGTAGCATCAGGGAGCTCTAAGCAAAACTCGAGTCAATGGGAATCTGAACAACAACTCTTCACTGATTGAAGTTATACCTAGCACAAAGGAGGATGTTTGTAGTTGTTGGAGGTCAATCATCTTAATCCCAGGGCATGCTGCAGGTTTTCCTCAGGTTAATATGTTAGTCCAATTATCTCTAACTGCTTCATCATCATAAGTTCCCTCCTTCATAAATTCATCAATGGGGATGTTTGCTGATGGTTCAGCACCATTTACAACACTTCAGCTACTGAAGTAGTACATGTCCCTAAAACCTGGACTAAATTCCAACTTTGGCACAAAAGTGGCAAGTTCTAGGCGATAACCATTCTTTTAACTTTGATCAGAAGCATGCTGAAAGACAATACAAAATAGGGGGTGTAATTCCAAAGTGGGTGCAGGAGCAGAAGGACCTGGATGTTTATGTGTACAGATTGTTGAAGGTAGCAAGACAGGTGAAGAAAGCAGTAATAAAGCATACAGTGTTCTCAGCTGCTTTAATAGGGGCATAGAGTACAAGAACAAGGCGGTGATGCTGCACTTGTACATGACACTCGTTGGACATTGTACACATTACTGTAAACTATGTGGGTGCCACATTAAAGGAAAGATGTGAATGCGTTGGAAAGAGTGCAGAAGGAATTTACTGCAATGTTTCCAGGTGTGAGAAATTTTAGCTCTGAGGAAAGATTGAAGAAGTTGGAACTATTCACCCTGGAGAGAGGCTGAGAGGAGATCTGACTGAAATTTTCAAAATCATGAGCGGACTAGATAGAGTTATTAGGATGAAGCTGTTTCTGTGTGTAAAACAAACAAGAAGAAGACATTGATTCAAAGTGATGTGCAAACATCAAGGATGATGTGAGAAAAAGTGAGTTAGAAGGGGAAGGAATGCCCTGCTTGGAAATGTGATGGAGGCAGGTTTAATTGAGGCATTCACGAGGGTGTTGGATGTTTGTTTGGATAGTAATGGTGTGCAGGTATGTGGAGAAAAAGGCAGGAGATTGGCACCAGGTAATACAGCTAGCCGACCCGATGGGTTCAATAGCCTCCTGCACCATACTAATACTATGAAGAAAGAGTCTGACCATCTCCCCTCAATATTTAATAGCATTACCATTTCTAAATTTTCCACTGACAGCAAGTTAATGCTGGAAATCAGAAACAAAAACAGAAATTGCTGTGAAAACTCAGCAGGTCTGGCAATATCTGTGGAGAGAAAGCAGAATTAACGTTTTGGATCCGGTGCCCCTTCTTCAGAACTCTGAAAAGCCTATCTACCGTCTACAAGGGTTGTCATGTGTGTGACGGAATACTGGCCACTGACTTGGATAAGTGCAGTTTTAACATTGCTCAAGCTGCGAAAATGCTGCCTGCTTGATCAGTACCCATTCCCCACCCCAAACATTCACTCCCAATAAAACCGGCACACAGTGGCAGCAGTGTGTTCCATCTGCATAATGCACTACAGCATCTCGGCAAGGCTTTCAGCAGCACCTTTGAAACCTGCAACCACCAGCATCTAGCAGGACAGGGGCAGCAGATGCTTAGGAACTGCACCATCTGTGGGTTCACCTTCAAGCCACACTTCATCCTGACTTGGAGTGATATCACTATTATTGGGTCAAATTCCTAGAAGTCCCTCTGGGACAGCACTATGGGTGTCCCTACACTACATGGACTACAGTAGTTAATACTAGAGTATTAGTCCTTTACACTCCCATCTCCATAATCTCCTTTGGCCCGCCGAGATCCTTGCACTCCTATAATTCCGACCCCCATTTTAACCACTCCACTAATTGATGGCCGTGTCTGGGCACTAATCCCTGGAATTCTCTCCCTCAGGGCCCAGTTTTTACTCCAATATTTTGTCATATTTCATCATAGTCAAATTTTAATCATCGCTCCTATAAAGCCCCTTGGGATGTGTTAGAGATATAAATGCAATATACCAATCTACTTGAAAGCAGATCAAATAACTTAGAACAGGGATGAAATCTTCCTGTATCTCAGGGAGGGATGCCAGTTAAATTACTGGTTAGTGAGTCCCTTCCCAATACATGACTGTGAAATTTCTCTTTGTTAATTGGGGCTGTAAGTCTGTAGTTCTCTTCCTGGAGTGTAATCAACAAGTAGTGTTATGAAGCTGCCAGCAGATGTCACTGGCTGAACTTTCAACTGGCAGAGAATTGCCCAGGAATTTGAGAAGATGCAGTTAAATTGAATTAAAAGAATGGACAGGAAAGAAAGATTTCTCTAGATTAAGATTAACTGTAAAGTGGGGAGCCCAAAACTGGATGGTATAGGTTTAAGATGAAAGGGGAAAGATTTAAAAGGGACCAAAGGGGCAACATTTTCACACAGAGGGTGGTGTGGGTATGGAATGAACTGCCAGAGGAAGTGGTGGAAGCTGGTACAATTACAACATTTGAAAGGCAGAGTTTAGGGGGATATAGACCAAATGCTGGTAGATGGGACTAGATTAATTTAGGATAGCTGGTTGGATAGCTGGACAAGTTGGACCAAAGGGTCTGTTTCTGTGCTGTACAACTGTATGATTCTATGATAGTGTTGGGGAGTAGACAGGATTTTGTTTTGCTGTATGTCTTAGAACCTTTAAAATTATTATATTTAGATAAATTGCTTTGTTTTATTATTATGTCCAAGGGAAAAGGGTTATGGTGAACAGGTGGATAAGTGGAGCAGAGTCCATGAAAAGATCGGACATGATCTCATAGAATGGCAGAGCAGATGGCCTACTCCTTTTTGTGTTCTTTTGTGTAATAACCTCCTATTTTACTGTTAAAACCAAATCTGCAATATTGTGTGCCTATATTTCACTGAAACACCACCACCACCTTAAAGTTACAATAAAATGATCTATCAAGCCAGATTTAATTCTGGGCTCTGTCTTGTCCAGTTGTAGCATCATAATTTCAAGTTCCTGATCCATCATCAGAATTGTCACCCTGGTTTCCTCCTCTTTCTCAGGATGTGTGCATTGCTGCCCTGGCCAGAATTTACTCACCATTCGTAGTTACTCTTGAGAAGATGATGAGTCACCTTCTTGAACTATTGGTAGTGTTTTTGTTACATCCGAGTCTAGATCCATTGGAGCTTAGTAAAACAAGAGATGATCTTATTGAAACATATACAATCCTCAAGGGATGTGATTTGGAGGAAGCTGAGAGGAGTTTCTTTGTGGAGGAATCTAGAACAAGGCAACACAATTTAAGAATTAGGGGTATCTTGTTTAAAATTGAGAAGAAGAAGAGAAATTCCAATCTTAGAGGATCGTTAGGCTATGAATATCTGTTTCCCAGAGAGAGGTGAGGGTTTCGACACTGACTGATTAAGACTGATTAAGAATTTGATCAACAATGGTTAGGTGGGGGGAATGGACAGGAAAGTAGACTGAAGACCACATTTAATTCAATCCTGATCTTATGGAATGGTGTACCCCTGCTCCTGATTCTTCTTGGATGTTGTGTTCTTGA